TTGTTGTGTACTGGTGCACTGGTAAGCAGTTTGTTACAATGGGTGGATTTGGGTCAGAGGTTGGTGTTGTGAAATCTGGAGTCCCTCAAGGGTCAGTTTTGGGCCCCTTGCTTTTTAATATCTACATTTTCCCACTTGGTCAACTTTTAAGATCTCTTGGTCTAAAATTTAATTTCTATGCAGATGACACTCAAATCTATATACACTCAAAACCTGATGATACTGTGCCTGTGGATTTTCTTTCTTAATGTATTTCTAAGATTAAGGAGTGGATGTCGCAAAATTTTCTTTGTCTCAACAGTGAAAAGACTGAGATTATGCTCATTGGTTCACCCCACCAGTTTCGTAAACCTGGAACGGTTTCTTTAATTGTTGATGATTCTATTATGGAATCTCGGACAAAATAAAAAAATCTAGGGGTAATATTTGATTCAAATTTAACATTTGAGCCTCATGTTCTGAATACTGTTAAAACATCTTTCTTTCATCTTAGAAATATTGCCAGATTACGTCCAATGTTGTCTTTCCCTGTTGCTGAGAAGTTGATAGACACCTTTGTTTTCTCTCGAATTGAACCCCGAATTGAATTTTGAAACCCCGGGTTTCAAAAGCTACCCTAAACAAATTACAGGTCGTGCAAAACTCTGCTGCCAGAATCCTAACTAAAACAAGGATAAGGGATCATGTCACTCCTATCTTGGAGTCTTTGCATTGGCTTCCTGTTAGGTTTAGGGTTGATTTGAAAATTCTGATGCTCACTTACAAGGCTCTGCATGGTTTGACACCGCAATATCTGTCAGAGCTTTTAACTCCATATATCCCAAAGCGGAACCTTCATTCTTCTGATACTGGATTGTTAATTGTTCCGTCTACCCGCCTAAGATCGATGGGGGATAGGGCTTTTTCTTCTCTAGCTCCAAAACTATGGAATTCTCTTCCTACTGAAATAAGGCAGGCAAATTCTCTTAACATTTTTAAATCTCGCCTTAAAACTTATTTCTTTAGGGTAGCTTTTATTTAACTTTTTATATTAATTTTATATTGTTTTTATTTCTAATGTGGTTTGAATGTGTTTTTGCTTATTTTCATACATTTTTATATGGTGTATTTTGATGTTTTATTTATGTAAAGCGCTTTGAGAAGTAACATTTAAAGGCGCTATAGAAAAATAAATATTATTATTATTATGTACTAAAAGTGTTTTGAAGTCGTAACAGTACTGTGCAAAGAAACACACAAAAAAGTATTTATTAATCGATAATCTACCCCTGTGATCACAATTTGTTTGAACAAGAATGAAAAGTCAATGGTGTTTCAGTGCCACTAGTGTTCATTTCACCTGGAAACTGCAGTGAATTGTATGTAGAAGTACATTTTTGGAGTTTGTGTAAGTAGAGGCACGCTTTTCCAATGAGCCTAGGTTGGAAATATTAGCAAATTTCAGCTTCCCCAACAGCTGTTCCTCTGAGAAAGAGCTCAGAGATTATTAATAGCTCAAGCTCAAGGGAATTCGCTTATTGAGAAAAATAAAGCTAGCATTCAGTGCCAAACCTCTCATATCCAATACAGTGCATCCCTTCTGTTCAGATTACTCAAGTAAGTTCTTGAAGTCTGAGTTTCTAGTGCATTTTTGCAAGTGCTTACTTATACTTAAAAAAATAAATTAAAAAACCCTTTTGTGAGTACAGCTATTGCAAAGTGTTGTACCTGAAATCAGTATGTTGTGCCATAAAAAGTGGAATCAAAACACCTTGTTGTCTGGGCAGCCATTTTGTTTGTAAGGAGATACAATAAGAAATTCAGTCAAACAAATTCATTTGGTGTATGAACATTAATGAAGTTTAATGAACTAACAATTTACAGCATTTATTTTGTACAGCATTCTACATATACTAATGCATTTTTGACATTAAAGTTTATACTTTAATTTAATGCATTAACTAAGTAGTATTTATAAATCTAACATTTTTATTTCTTGAAACCTAGAGCATTAACTGATGTTAGTATATACAACCTTACCGTAAAGTGTGACCAAACTTGCTCATTTTGTAAATTTTAAAGAATAGACAGAAGTATTATACATAATTGCTTGGCAAGCCTTCTAAGTCTTAACCCTCATCACATGATACAGTGTAAATATATAATTCATCTCGCAAGTCAGTGCTGCTTGTCCCCTGAGGGCAAAACTCTTCTACATCTGTTTTTTACTATCGTGACAAGTGA